GGCGCGGGCCTTGGCCTGGAAACTGCCGGTCGGCGCAGTGGGCAAAGGGTAGTTAGTTAGGGTAGCGAGGCTTTTCGCTGGATAGGAGGCTTGGTGAAAGGTTGATTAAATGGAGTACGTACCTTTAAAGACGTCCGAGGCTTTTCAAAATTGCAAGATTCTCATTCCTCTCTATATTTGTGAAAGTGTTCAGTGTTTCTTTGGACCCCTTTATTCCCCTGAAAAAAACACACACGCACACACAACCAGAAGAACCTCAAACCGGCAAGAAGGGAAGGTGTCTGTACCTCAAAGTCAGCTGATAGCAAAGAAGACATAACTGCAGAAATATCAAGAGCTCACCCTGCTCCTGAAGAGGTCACTTCTGGCAGGAGAAGGGCCTGTACTGGGAAGGTAGAAGTCAGAGGCACTCTTATAGTGCAGAGCCTGGTTATTGCTCATACAAATAAGGCTGTTGTTATGTGTTCCGATTAAGCGCTGACTTTGGGCCTGAGTTCTTGACTGCATAGTTGCAAGTTTGTGGTTCAAGACCATTTCTGAATTAGAGAAGTGAATCTGGAAAAAAATGCTTGAAGAGGCAAAGGACCACTTATTACAGGAGGTGTGATGCTTTCAGTCAGTCTTCACTGTATGATAGAAATCCTTTTTGGTTTTATTCCAAGGTTGTTTACATCAGTTCCCTCTCTAGAGCAGGTGGTGGTGATTTTCATGTCCCAGTTTTCACATCTTCTCTGTAAGCAACAGATTAGTCAGCACACTCTGAATAGGTACTCCAGGGTAGTGGGAATTTGAGCTCCAACTGGATGCATTTTATACTCAAGAGCTAAATATTCAACTTTTTTATTCTCTGAAGTTCCCTGTTTCCTGTCAAAGCCAAAAGTCGTGTGAGTTTCTCCAGGCTTCAATCCTGCTCCCATTGAAACTGTGTTTTTTGCAAGGACTTTATCCCCCAGTAAGGTGGTTCTCAGGTAGAACTTTAGCTAAAACGCTCACAGCTTTACCTCTTACAGATACACTGCCATGTCCTACCTAAGGACCACTGCATCTACCTGTCATCATTAGATATATGATCAATCACAGAAAAGACACTGCTACCTGTGGTCTGCACAAATGACATCCATCCCAGGAAGATGTAGGGGTAGGTAAGGGTTAAAGCAAATCAGCCAAATGAGAACTTTTGTGCTGCCCCTGGCTCCCATCTCACCTTCCCTTAGGGACCAGCTCTGCTCTTGCTGCTCCCTGACAAGGGAAACAGAAAACCTGTCTCTCATCTTCAGACCTGCAAGATTCTGCTACAAGGGTGAGGTTACTAAAAAGTAAGACTAGCTGAGCTATCTAAAGTCTTCATGGTCTTCTTTTCCAAGTTTGTGGCAACCTCAGACCTTGGAAGATAGGCCTGCACAGTTAAAAGTTTGAGGAATGCATGCCTAAAATGCAGCTCTTTCTTACAAATGTTTATGCGCATGCTTGGCCTCTACTGTTAAGCACGTGCAGCAAGGATGTGTGGGCTGGCACTGTGAACTTTTTTTTCTTTCGAGAGCTCAGAACTACCCCTTGAGCTGAAACCATCAGCACAATGAAGTGCCTACAATTCCTGAGAGTCAAATTAGCAGAAACACAGTCAGCAAGCATCCTAGTGCAGCCTCTTTACAGAGACTACATTGTGTACTCCCTTGCAGTCACAGTCAACTGATGCAAGTTGCTATTTGCATCTTTGCTGAACGAGTGAGCTGTCAAGACCCAGAGGAGAGCACTTGTTCCCATGTACAAATGGACCCTTCACCTAATGACCAGAGTCGCAGAGCATATGTGAGTAGCAGACTCAGAAACTAAGGTATGCTATAAGTAGCATAGGAGGAGTGAAATGTTTTTTTGTTTCTATCTATAGCTGTATATATGTGTGTGTTTGTGTACATGTATCTATAGTCATTCTTATTTCTACTTTCTGAGAAGAGATCCTAGGCTGTCCTCTGTTCAGACCAGTATGGTGCCTGAGAAAAAAGCAGAAAATTCTACTCCCCACCCCCAGTTTCAGTAAGAGGCAACTTAGGCTGGTTCTTGTAAATAGTTGTAAAAGAAAAGTTACTGCAGCAGAGCATTGTAATCAAGAGGTCTCCATGGACAGCCTGTCATCCTGATGAGAGACACTTTGTAATTAAGCAAAGATGCCTTTTCAAAGCTGAAACAATTTTTAAGTGTCCCTACTTCCCTCATCACATCAAGTAGTTTGGAGTTGCACTGAGCTCCCAACAAGAAAGTATTTTAGAGGAGTTCAATTCAATTGGAAATCTAAAAGTTTCAAGACTGTCACATGAAGCCTGCAGAAAACACATTTCAAAACATGTCTAAAGAGCCTTAACACAGTTTTGTACTACTACAAAGATCTTTCTTTGAAAGGAAAAGTGCAGGTAACAGCCCAAGCATTGCTGGGGAGACCTGATATCCACAGACTTCTGTGAGAAGCTCAACATTACTTGCAGGCAAACCAATGAAGAAGCAGCCCTTGCAGCTGAGCTTAACTGAGTTCCTGTTTGAACATCTCAATTACACTGATTTCATGATTAACCTTGTTCCAATTAATGAGAAAAACGGAAAGAAACCATGGTCGAAATATTGGACAAACTGTTTAAGCTAACGAAGGAGGACACTTGGTGCTTGTGAAGGAGCTGGTAATGAGAGCCTGGAGGAGAATTAAAGGAAAACAGCTGCTTTCAGATAAGTACAAAATTCAACCACGTGAGCAAAGTGAATGTGAGTGTCCTGATGTGTTTGAGCACATCAAGTGGCAACACAGGCGACTGAGAAAAGCTGTATGAATGTGGATCATCTTACTCAACCGATCAGTATGCTCAGGTTATTGTATACACCAGCGTATAATAGCCCCAGAGAGTGAACCTGGGTGCTCAGTCCCTGATCATCTGCTCTGCTGTATTCGGGAGTGAAATTGTTTGCAACAGTCCACATCCAGTAACTCTGATTGATTGCCACTGAAGGACCACCAATGGAACAGCGCTGTCCACTAGAGTATCCTGCCGGAGCTACATGTCTAGGAGACGGGGGCACAGGCCCGCCCAGAAGAATACGTGGTCTGGGCCAAGGTGAGCTGGATGGCCATCTAGCATTTTTGGAACATGAAAGCCAGATCTCCACGAGCTCAAGCAGCAGAGCTACAGGCAGGTCCTCATGGCATTCTTGGTTGCCTTTCTGGTGAAGAGGCTGGTCCCAAAATGTCCCACTGCCCATCCTTCCTGCTGTCCCTGTATGCATGATTACAGAATCACAGAATGGTTTAGGTTGGAAGGGACCTCTGGAGATCGTCTAGTCCAACCTCCCTGCTCAAGCAGGGTCCTCTAGAGCATATTGCCCAGGATCACATCCAGACGGGTTTTGAGGAGAGAATGTAGAAGATGTAGGACGGAATATGTCCTCAGTTGTTGCTCCTTATCCTCCCCACCCCCTTTCAAAGGTAAAGGAACTGTATGTTAAGCTAAATTGCATGCTGTGGGCTTCGAAATAGGGAGTTTGTGATGTTACTTCCCAGTGGACTCATCCCCACTAATTATGAGGAATTTGGTAAGAAACAGCATGAGCCAGAGGTCAAGGTGGTGTGCTGGAAGGGTGTCCAGAATTCTTGTGCTACTGTGGCATGACAACCCCGTCCCCTTTTATTTTTGGCAAATGTTGCTTGTGTCACATGCATAAACACCAGAGAAAAACAGCACACAGGGCCCTGAGAAGCAGGGGCAAAGGGTTAGATTAGCAAGGTCTGATTCAGCAGCTGCAGGCTGGCCATGTGCAGCGCAGACACAGAGCCAAAAAATATTAACCAGAGGGAGTGTGAAGTGTCCAGGTGTGACGCAGCAAGAGCTGTGTGAGCAGAGTGTTGAGATAGGGGTGTGCATGTGGGGCGGCTGCCTACAAGCAGCCGTCTGTATGAAGACATATTGGGTTCAGATAATGTCAATCAAAACGTGTGCATGGTGTGAAAAAAAAAAAAAAACAAACAGAAGCAGGACTGGAGCAAGAGAATGCTGGGGATTCACCTGGGCTGCTGCCAGTTGGCTTCTCTGCCAGGAGATGGCACCTGGCACCTTTAATTTACTGTAGAGATGTAGCCATGCTGTCCATTGCAATACTTTGCTCCTTCCCTGAATGTATGATAGGCTGATATTTCAACTGAGAGGCAGAAGACATGTTTTCAGCCAGTTAGCTGACAGAGGAGAAGGGTGACTGCTTTTTGGAATCAGTATGTTTCTGGTAACTCTGTGGTGAGGGCACTACAGAAATGCACTGTATTTTCCACTGTACTGTGGCAATGGGGGTATGCGTCTTCCTAATGGGGGTGGGAGGTGGGGAGGGAGTTGTTGAAATGATAAAGGCAATGTGTCAGGCTTTTCAAGATCAAGTCCTCCTTAGGAACGTCATCCATCTGTAGACCAAGCTTCTTCAAAAGAGAAAGAGGAACAACTTCTTGTCTTGGAAAAGGGGATGCTTGCTCGCCAGTAAGAAGAGTAAAACGTAGAATTACGCTCAGAGATAATTAAGAATGTCTTTTAAAAATGGTAACAAACATTTTAAACAACATCTTTTGGGGCAATTAACAGCAATACTTGGCCATATTATTTAGTTCCTTGTTAGCCTGTCTGTTCTTTGCTGTTTATTCTTCTCCGTTAAGTTTACCAAGCCTCTCAGCCATAGGTACGCTACTGCTTGTGAGACTGTGGTCTAGACTGGATTAATGCAGTTTAAGGGCAACCCTCAAAAATCTGTCATTTAAAAAATGCAGATCATTTTACGGATGTGATTTAAGGCACAACCATGTGAACAGTTAACCAGCACAGTTATATTGATTCAGGCTCTGGGGGAGAAGATGTGAGTGGAGTGAAACCAAATGACTTAAACTGGATCTACTTCCAACGGAGTGTGAAGCCATGCCCTGCCCTTTTTAGCAATGGGTGGTTAAAGGAGGCATACATGTCTCCGATTACTCAGCCAACGCTTTCATTCACATTGCTTCCGTTCACAGGTTGATTGTTCCCTCAGGATCCTGTGCCCTTCAAGCTGGGCCTTGTCTTTTCCCTTAGTCATATCTCCTGCTGGAGAGCTCATCTCTGTGTGAATGCTCATTGTTAGCATTAGGCCTGTATGTGAGTATGAAAATAAAAATTCTTCAGCACAGTAAATGTGATCACTTCATTTTCTTGCCTAAAGCACAGTGTGATTTCTTCCCGTTTGGCTCTGTGGGTGGAACAGGCCTTTCAGCATATACTACTGCATTCATTACAGGGAGTTCTTCTGCGCTAGAGATACTAAAATCTTTATTATTACTGCCAATTCTCTCCTCCCCTGTACCAAGTGGTTGTCTGAGCTAGAATTCCTTTTAAGGACAGACTCCCTGTAGTAGTAGTATTCTTCTCTTCCAAGAAAGGAAGATCTCTTCAGAGGTCAGTTCCTTCTACTTTCTCTTAATTCTACCTCCCCCATATTCCTTAGAAAGTCATTATTAAACAAGACTTCAAAACCACTCATGAAAAATCACAGAAAATCCAGATATCAATGTCATAATCACCTCTTCGTAATCATTAACGACTCAAAATCATAGTGTCCGAGTTAAAAAGTTTTATGCAAGAAGAAACGTTTAACATTTAATATAAATCAAAGTTTGACATAGCTTATTTTTCAAGCATCCTCTCTGTTCATCAACTGAGAAATAGAAGATCACAATTAGAAAAGTCATCCTAAGTACTTTTAAAAGCCTTATAAAAACATTCATAAAGTGCCACCCACAAAAGCACCTTAACTCGAATCTGAGAGAAATATCTATTAGGATGTTAATTGTCATAATTGCTACTGAGGAATAAGTTGTCAAACAGCAGCAGGATTTGTGGAACTGTCAATTTAACTAACATATAACAGCAAAATACGGTTCCATAGACATGGCTTCAGCATAGCGTCAGGTGGATCTACAACAGGTATGTTGAGACACCCAACATAGTGTTGTGGGGTTTTAAAATAAATAGATGTTAACACCACCTAAAACCAAGAATACCAGCAAGTGGGAGATGTATATTCTAAGGGGGAGCCATCATCCCAAGTTGTGGCCTCATCACAATGGCAAAACCAAGGCAGCTTGTACAGGACACAGTTATAGATTGTAGCTGTTTTTTTTTTTTTTTAACAGGGATAAAAATCACTCCCCAATAAAAATAACAGAAAAAGGCACTGATCCTTGGAACGTTTCAATGTTCTCCCTTCTCATTCTCCTTCTCCTACTTGAATGTACCATAAGCACCTTTCTTGCCTTCATCCCCAAAAGAGAAGCTCAGAACTACCACTACACAGCAGTGAACATGCACTAGTTCCTTCTGCAGCGGCCTCCCTCCCTGCTTGAGTGTCTGGACAATGCTCACAAGCAGATTTAACTGGAGGAGAAGGGGAAAGGCTCTGAGGGCTCCCACCCTCCACCTTCATGCCCCATAAGCGGTGTTCATGCCGCAGGGAGCAGCTGCGTGACTTCCCAGCACCAGGTAACTGCCAAAGGTCCACATAGCTTTTATCCTCTCCCCCAACTACTCTGTATGGTGCTTCTGGTGGCGCACCAGCTGGGGCTGGAAACGAAAGCTTTCCCCACACTGGCTGCAACGGTATGGCTGTTCACCAGTGTGGATGCGAGTGTGCTTGATGAGGTTGGAGTTGCCGCTGAAGCCCCGGCCGCACTGACTGCATTTGTAAGGCTTCTCACCAGTGTGGGTGCGAGCGTGGTTAATGAGGTCAGAGCTCTGCCCAAAACGTTTGCCACACTGTCCACAAGCATAGGGCCGAACACCCTCGTGGGCTCGCTGATGCTGGAGGAGGTGGGAGCGTTGGCTGAAGCTCTTCCCACAGGCTGGACACTTGTAGGGCCGCTCACCCGTGTGCATGCGTTGGTGTTTGATGCAGGTGGAGCTGTCGCTGAAGATTTTCCCGCACTCACCACACACATAAGGTTTGAGCCCAGTGTGGATGCGCTGGTGCTTGAGGAGGTTGGAGCTCTGGCTGAAGCTCTTTCCACACTCGGCACAGGTGTAGGGTTTCTGGCCTGTGTGGACCCGGCGGTGCTGAATGAGATGGGAGCTCTGGCTGAAGCCCTTGCCGCACTCCCCGCACAGGAATGGGCGCTCTCCTGTGTGCATGCGCTGGTGCTGGATGAGGTGGATGCTCCGACTGAAGCCCTTACCACACTCAGAGCAGATGGTGGGCCGCTCAGCGCGAGGGGCTCGCCGTGTGGCTGCTGCCTGCCCTTTCTCCTGTCTTTTTGCCAGGCTGCCATCAGAGCAAGGTAGCTTAGCCGCCTCTTCCTCCTTCTCACAGTCACCAATCTGTGCCTCTGAGGAACTGTGCTGACTTGCATGGCTATCTCCTGGGCTCTCCTCTCCTCCTCTGGTCCCCACTGTCAGCAAATCCTGCTGATCTGCACTCGCATGATCTCCTGGAAGGGGACCTGCTGGTACCTTCTGGGACCTTCCCCCTGGAAGGGGACCTGGAAAAAATGGAAGCCTAATTGTGATTATTGCTGGTAAGTGGCACATGGCAGAGAATGGGTGAGCTCCCCTCTCAGGGTGCCTGGTGTACTCTGTGTATGAGAAAAAGTAAAGTGAAGGGTTGGTGCAGACAGAAATTCAGCTGTAGGAGAGGCTGTATGGCTTTGAGAGAGCAGCCTAACTGTGTAAACCTGAGCAGATGTGCCACAATTAGTAGTGTTGAGGACAAGGCTGCAGGCGTTTTCTTGCCCCTAGGAAATCTTTGCATTTTGTCTTCTTTAGAGTATGTATGAGAAGACAGAATATTAACAGTGGACTGAAAATGACAGGCTGGCTGCTTGCCCCAAAGGGCAAACAGCAGGTCACAACATAAGGCTGATGAAAAGTGGCTTAAATAACACTGGGACAGCTCAAATAGCATTTTGCTTGCTACATGTTTCTAAGTTTACCCAACTTATTCCTCACCTGTGCGCATCTCCTCCAAGGCCTCATGATCTTGTTCTTCTCCTTGGTCCATCTGGACAGTTATGCCAGGTTAAGCAATCAGGAACCCTTCTCACAAAAGCAAACAAAAAACGTTGGTTAGTCGAACATTCGGCGAGAGCTTGTCATATAGTACATTTTAAAATCTACTCCCCCTGCTGAATATGGGGAAGAAGCAGAGTGGTTGCACGGAAGA